TATCTCTATTTGATTATTGTATTCTACGTGGGGAGGAAAAGAGGTTTGTGTAAACAGTTGTACTAGACAGCTGTAGTAAAAAGCAGATTAACAAAACCGGGTCTAGGCTCCTGGGCGCTAACGGAGTTCTGGTCTCGACAGTGGCGATTGAATCAGGACAGCGCCCCATTTGAGATCATTGGTTCCGAACACATATCCATGTACATCGGTAAGATGGTGACTGTCGCGCCCACCCTGCAATCGTTCTGCACGTCAGTCGGCATTGGCATCGCCGTTGGCATGGACGCTGACATTGGTATCCGTTCGTGTTCCCTGTCTGGCCCTTCCAGATGAGACCGACTTGAAGCTGCACGAGGTGAGCCACATACCGCAAACACCTGCTAGCTCCTTCCATTGGAGAACGTATGCCAGGGTCTCCAGCCATGGCGCCGAGATGCTGAGAGAAGACCCGCGGGACTCCTTCTACCATGGTAACCAGCTCTGTGACGTCTACATTCCAGCCTGAACAGCAGGCCCTTGTTTTCAATGCTGGATCAGATGCATGTCATATCTAACTTAATTCAGCAGTCGTCCTCTGTCTTGACAAGAGGATGTTCACTTGTGACGTTTCGCATTCAGTCCGCATCTGCCGCCGTTACCTCCGGAGCTTCCCTTCTTGCAGTTCCGCTGATGAGCGCGTCAAACCTGCGTGGCATCCTGCCTGTGTGCCCCTACAGTCCCACCTACCTCATCAAGGGGTACCCTCTCCAGAGGTATCAGGGCATTGAGTTTGTAAGTATGACCCTCGTGAGTGACTGCCAGGGAGTCATGGCTCTTGTGGAAGTCTCTGTCCTGTTTAAACAGTGGGTGGGCTGTTCTGATATTTGTTCATCATGAATAGCTGGGAGAGGTCCAATGAGCTCAGTGTTCAATGTTTTGGATGTGCTGGTGTGACAGGAAATTCTGCACCATAATCTCCAAAGCATCATTTCAGTTAAGTCTAAATCTGAATTGATATGAAAGACAGGTGGCTTCCCCTGTAATGTTCTTATAGATAAAACTTTGCAATTCTGCGAATTACTGCTGAAGACCAGGCAACACAATTCCCCAACGCTGAATTCAGAATGCTAAAATTTAACATTGGGGAACACACATACACACACACACACACACCTATACATATACACATACGCATACATATTTATACATATACACACACACATACGTATTTACACATACATACACACACGCACATACATACACACACACACACACGCATGCATATATACATACACACACACATACATATATACATACATACACACACACACATACATATATACACACACAAACATACATATATACATACACACACAAACATACATATATACATAGACACACACACACACGCACATACATATATACACACACAAACATACATATATACATACACACACAAACATACATATATACATACACACACACACACACGCACATACATATATACATACACACATATAAAAACTTGCTGACACCCCATAGGGACTGGTATTCAGTGGATCCCCTAATCATTTTTAACGAGTTTTTCTTTTGGCATGCTACTGACAACTAAAGCAGAGCTTTATTCTATTTCCTTCTTGTGTCTCTCTCACCCCCCACTTCCAAGGTCCACCTGTCTTATGTTTACCCCAATGACTACACGCGACTAACACACATGGAGACCAACAATAAATGCCTGTACAGTGAAGACCCCCACTATCTAGAAGGGTAGATACAATTCTTAAATGTTTCCCGTTGGTTTGATAGTTTTATATGACTGCAAGAAGTGAAAATATCTATTCCCGTTAATCAGTAAAGTGTGTCCTGTATAATTTTTATTTTATTTTTTTTATATACAAAGTCTAGCTTTGTTGGCTGTGGAAGTAAATATTATTAACAGCACTGAGAAATGCCCTGTGCTGTGCAGCTGGGAGCGACCTAAGCACACCCAGAAGCTTGCCTTAAGGCGTGAGGAGTGCTAATCTCCTTCAGATTCTCTAGAGCTTGCAGTAGTATTCCAGTCTACCATTAGATGGCTCCACTTCCTCACAGACGAAGCCACATCTTTTGTTTTTTTTATCGTGTTACCTGCTGTGGATGTAGATTTGTATATACATTTCATGATTTTACTAATTTCTATGCAAAGTAATATTTATTTCTCTTCTTGCCAAAAACTCATAATGTTGTTTTTCCAAAACAACGGGCGCAGGCTTGGGTTTCTGAATTACATGAAGATGGACTCTCCAGAAAATGGGAGCGCTGAACAACGAGACAACGAACAAGGTAGACACACCATACTGTTGTTCGCCCTGCTCTGGGAAAGATCATCCAGCATGGCTTGTATTTAACATAAACAAAATCCATTAACCTCTTCATTTTGAGTGTTGGAGTGAAATGCTGTGGAGATCAGATGTTGCATGGAGGTCCAGTTAATCTGCTCATGTTTTGGTGTATATAGGTACATTTTTCTGGTTAAAAGAATTCAGCATGTGTCATATGTATATATGTTTCTGCTGAGACCATATTATAGGTAGATAAAATTAAAGAAATACCATGTAGGTATAGGACAATACAACCACTTATGGAATAGTTGTTTATGGTTCCCTTGTAGCACATTTTATTTTATTTTGTTTTATTTTATTTTATGACACTGGTGTTTACAATTTTTGCTTTATGAAGGGGATAGGGGTGGCCTTGGTGACAAATCTTTGTACCAGGACAAGGAACTTCAGCCAGAGAACTTCAGAGAGCTGCCAGACAGCCAAGGGCGTAACTTTGGCTGGAACATTGTGGGGGCTGAAGTCTCCACCCATTACGGTGGAAACATGATTATTGGGGGGTTGTATTAGCTGGTTTTGATTTATTGGGGGGGCTACAACCCCCCATCCCCCCCATAATTTATGCCCATGCAGAAAGCGAGAATTATGAATCGACATCCTCAATCATCTATGACCCAGTTGTAAACTGGGCACAGACGATCAATGTGAGTAACATGGACTTCAGCGCGTTCCGCAAGGATTCCATCGACCTGAAATGCAACGTCTCTGGAAATCTGCAGATGAGTTCCAGAGTGGCATTGCCTATCGTGCAGGCCTTCATGCATCAGCTCAATCAGGAGAACTTGGGGTAAGGCACCTGAGTGTGTGTCATCTTAATGTTAACAATGTATTTCGGATTGGAGGAGATGTCCTGGTGGAGCTGAGGAGTAGTGTTCTGTCAGGATCAGCCCCTGTTGTCCCACCCTGTGTCCCTTCCCCGTTTGGCCAGCAGGTGTCGCTGGTCATCCCGTTCTTCATGTTAGTCTTTGTTCTCCCCTGTTTCCTGTCTGGCCACATGGCTCAATGTGTTGAGCATGTGGTTGCTTGTGATCCTTGTCCTGTGATCCCACCTCCTCTGTTTTTGTATTTTGCTCCCTAGTGTTTCATTTATGTTTCTCTAGTTCTTGTGTCTGATTTTGTAGTTGGTTTTTATTTTACTCCTTGTGCCCCTGCTTGTGTCTTTACCTGTTTATAATTCCCTAGTGTTGGGTTCTGTTTCCTTGCTTAGTTCTTAGTTTCCCTGTTTTGTTCCTTTTGAATTTATTAGTTTCATCTGCCCTGTTTTCCTGGTCTCTGTTAATTAGTCTCACCTGTCTCGTGTTAGTCCTTTTACCCAGTTTGGTTCCTGTATTTAAGTCCCTGCTTCTGTTCTGTTCCCTAGTGGTTCGTTGATTGTTGTTTGATGATTGTGATGGTCTTAAGTCTTGTGAGGTTAGAGCTGTATACTGCTTACCTGCCCAGTTTTTGTTATTTGTGATTTGTAGTCTTTGCTTTTCCCCTTTTAGTTTTTGATCCCTCGTGGTCCTTTGTTTTGTTAGTCCATTCTTGTGTTTTACTTAGATCAGTTTAATAAACCCCGTTTTTGTTCTTTGAGCCACAAATGGGTCGTCCATCCTTTTTGTTCCTGCACCATGCCTTGTTCTCACACCCGAGTTCCTGTATGACAGAAAAGAAATTGAATTTGTTGGGTACAAGAAAGTGTTATTTTCCAGTATACAGTATGAGGGGTGGGTTTCCGTGTCATGCCAAACATCTAGAGTGGGAACTGAATTATGTGTTTTGTTAATATCTCACAGTTTGAACTAGAGATGCATCGATCCGATATTCAGATCAGTATCGGCCGATCCAGACCTATTTGATGGATCGGGTATCAGTCATACATGACCGATCCACGTCCGATACTCACTTACTTATTTAGTTTTTGGCAGTCCTTTCATTTCGTGTTAAATTTATTTGTACAATCAATCACACAACAGCTCTTTTCCGTTTTAGATGCGTTTTTTGCGACATTAAAGATGAAAGCTAACACTGCCACTCACATTTTTGCTGCTCTGTGGATGTGAGTGCAGTGACTTCCACCTGTTTTGACGTCATGCGCATACCCTTCGCAGTACGAGGAGTGTAAGAACATGAGATTAGAGGATGGCGATTTGGGAGTATTTTACGCTTTTAACAACAACTTGTAACTCAGTGTTTTGCAATCTATGTAAAAACAAAGTTTTGAGAGGTGGGAGTAGCATTCAGTAGAAAATCCCACTAAACAAAGCGCACGCAACTCTGCGAGACAAAAAAGCAATGGATGATTTGGGAGTCGCTAGCTTGGGCTGCAGCTTGTGATACAAGAGCGGCTGCCATCACAATATAGTGTAATTGAGCTGATGCCAATGGGAGAAAAATTGTGAGGCATTTTAAGCATTCGCCACATGCGTATGCTGCTTTGGAAGATATTCAAATTAACTTGCAAAATGCCTCAAAAATGCTTAAAACAAGATTTACAAATGAGGTAGAACAGTATGTTTTATGTATGTTTCTAGTAGCCTAATTAAAGTTTTTTTTTGGCATACAGTTTTCATCTGTATTTACTGGTTTAAAAGTAATATGTAAAGTATAAATATATATCATATATATGTCACGCCTCCCGTGGGCGTGACAGGACAGGTGTAGCTCTTTCATCCGTGGATGACGGCTTAGTTAAAAGGGGAGAACTCACGCATTGCCAGTGCGAAGTATTAAGCCGATGAAAAGAAGCTATACCGAGCGATTACTAGTCTTCCGTCTCCCCGATCTCCCGTACCTGTCACAGTTACCTGTTTCTGTTCCTTCCTTCCCGCACCCGCTCCTGACTTACCTGTTCCATCCAGTCCGACTCCCTGTGTCCTGCCCTCCGTGTGTTCCGCCGTCCTGTGCTTATCCGTCGGATTGACTCCCTGGCTTCTGACCTTCCTGCCTGCCCTTCGACTACGATCCCTGCTCACCGCTCTTTGGTTTTGTTTGCTTCGGCTTGCCCCAAGGGAAGCTCTCGGGCTGCGCGTCTCCGCTACCCATAGCGGAGTGCACGGGAAGCTTCGCCTGTGTATTATCGCTTGCCCGATTAAACTTCGGCATTTCTCGCATTTCTGGGTCCTCGCTTCTCTCCGCCTGTCTCGTTACAATATATTTATTACATTAAAATAATAAAGTATATAAGGCTCTTGTATCGGATTGGCAGTTCAGTATCAGAATCGGATCGAAACTGAAAAAATGTGGATCGGCCCATTCCTAGTTTGAATATATCTGGTTATTGTTTAAGAATTACGTTTAAGTTTAGTTGTCATTTTCCCATATGGTGCTGGATTAATATACTGTGAGATAGCATTACGGTGGGAGGTAGTTATCTAGAGATGTAAATAGTAGGGATGTAACGGTATTGTAAATACCGTCGTACCGAAATAGCAAATGTTTTCGATACTACCGTGGTCGCATGACTCGATAAAACGATAGGTCTTCTGAGAAAAGTTTGCTCAGGCGAATGGAGCGAACTGGAGGTAGCGGGAACTACAATTCCCATCAGCCCAGGCGTGGTCATCATCCATCATCTGTTGTCGCTACAGATCCAGTAATGCGGAAATGGCGGGTGCTGCTAGTAGCGGCGAAGGAAAAGAGATGGAAATACTAAATTGAAACTTTATTTTTTTACATGGTTTAATAATTTTTTGTTATTAAAATTGAAGTTCCTGTTTCAAAGTGTCAGCAAGCGGCCAGCAGGCGAGCAAGGAAGCAGGAGAGCGA